TTCTTACATGGTGAACAGTACAAGGGCAGTCATCACAGAAACTTTCGGTTTTGATCATGCAATATGACCTATAAACAATCAGGTCAAATATGAATATTCATTTGATTTTTGTACTTGATTTATATGTTAAGGATCTACATAATTTTGTATATTCATAGTCTTTATGTAATTATTCATCCCTGTACTAGCTTGTGAAGAAGCATCTGAGATTGTGAGGTGATTGTGGAACATTTATCATAAACGTTTGGTAGACTTAGGAAAGGAAAACCAAACAGTTGTCAGATAAGTTATTGCGTCTCAGTTTTGTTTGTTTTCAGCATGAAGATTGTCCTTTTAATGTAATGACAGTTTTATTTTATAGCAAACCTTGGGATTAAGTGTATTTTATCAAAACATCCATGCTTTTTCTAAGAAAATGTGAAATATTTTCAGTTTACACAATTTTTTGACTACTTGATTTTTATTTACATCATAGATGACTGGTTTGTTTTTTCATTCCCTATCTTCAATACTGAATGTTTTGAAGAATGAAGATTTCAGTTTGTATCCTGTTAGTATTTACTTTTTCATATTTTATTCTAATTTAAAACGAATTGGGATCATAGTTTTTAAATTGTCTTGGTTGTGGAACCCTTTCCTACTCAGAGGAAATTAGGCCTTGTCTTGAACAGAACTTGCCCTGAACACATTAGAAAGGTGATAATCATTATACAAACTAGTAGCTTCTATTTAGCTGTCCCTCTTTCAAGTACACATAATTTGCATAATAGTACCCTTCATACAGTTATTTTGGCAAATGTTCTTATGGAAGGAATATTGTCAATAGAATCTGTAGTGCATAGAGGAAAGGTGAAGACTAGTCATCTTTTTCTTACCATAAGAGGTATGGTCCAAACTAGTGGTGTTCTTGCCCCAAAAATTATGATCAAAACTAACCAGTCCTTGTGAAGCTTAAAAAAAGGAGGTGGGGGTTTATATGCTGAAAACCTCTTATTTTGATACTGCCAAATGTATCTGTACATTTGGGTTAAATTGTAAGCAACAGAAAATGTTTTCTTGGCTTTTACCTCATAATCCCTTGAAAGATTGTCTCTTCCATTGGTTTCCATTCAAGGTAAAAATTAGTCAGCCTGGACAATATAGTGAAAAATTTTTAGAATAAGGATACAGTTTTTCTGGAGAGGAGTAGTTTGGCAAGTCTCAAGGAAAAAACTGTTTTATATGAGAATTATTGCTTTAAATCTGAAAATCATTAACAGCACTCATTTGTTCTTGTCACTGGAGGAAAATCTTATGGGGCTTATTGAAGAATTTGGCATGGGTAGCTTTGCCTTGCTGAAGAGAGAGAAAAACAGAATATTGTGCAAAAATGATTTAAATATATGAAACAAATATCTTCGTTTATGTGCATTTTCTAGCCTCATTTCTATTTTATTCATGTAATTTTGGGAAGATGCAGGAGATCAACCAGCTTTGGTGTTTTCTGGAAAGAAAGCATATTTTTAAAACTATGGATATAAGTAACTTGTAGTTCTGTATATTGCTTTCTATTAAGTAGAAGCAGAGAAGTTTTTGTAAAGTCCCCTGCTCTTCTGTAGGATGTGAGTATATGTTTAGATGAATGTAGGTATGACTCCTCACTCTGGTAGAGAGAGCCCCCCCCATACTTGACTTTTTTCAGTTTGATATGTTAGATTTTCAAAATAGGCTTTTTTTTTTTTGGAGAAAGAAAAGTTGGCCTTATAATCTTCCGTTATATAGTGATCCATCATTCTGAAAAGCACCGTTTTATTTTCATTATGATGTTTTCATTAATCTGCCTCCTCCTCAGTAGTGTGTGAGCCATTATTCGTCTTGGTTCAAGGCTTTTTCCCTAGCTTCAACAAAAGTAGATACTTAGTAGTATTTGTTGGTTGGATTAATTAATTAAATGATATCTTTCTGGCTCTTCCCAATGCTTCAGTCATTTTATTCCTTTTAAATACAATAAAGTTATTGTGTGGCATTTTGTATTCATCATCTTCCTACCCATCCCCATTCTTGTGGTGCATCAGCTGGCTAACCAGCATTTGCTTAGCAGTACGCTTGGGGTTTTTTTTGGTTTGGTTTTGTTTTTTCAGTTTGTAGCGGCTTTATTTTGACATACAAGACCTCAGACACAGGCGGCGCGATGCTGGGTGTACACATAGGCGCAGCCGCGGCCCAGCACCCCCGCAGGCAAGGTCCTGAGAGAAGGCGCAGGCGGCCAGGGCTTCCAGTTGGAGCACGGAGCCCATCCTGGAGGCGCAGGAAGCTCAGGAGCCTGGTCCTCCCCAGGGTTCTCCCATTGCTTTCCTTGTTAGCACTTTTTTTTACGTCGGTGCAAACAAAACCAAGTCGAACAGCTGTAGTTCAAAGCAGTCTGCATCTAGGGGCGGGCATGTGGCCGGGTAAGAGCAAGCGGGTGGAGGCTACTGACCTAGCTCAGGGCTTTGGCCCCACAGGAAGAATCCCCACACCCAACACACAGGCGCCCAAGTGAGGGGAGGTGGGGTCCCTGGCAAGCTGCATACACTGGCCCCCTTCCTCTTTAAGCCCAGAGGGCTAGTGTCCTCTTGGCCCAGGGAAGCACATAGGTGTCATGTGAGCATCCTGCAATCCCACCTTGCACTCTGGTCCCAAGTTGGGGCTAGAAGGCAGGGCCTGGCAGGGACAGAAAACAAAGTGGATTTTGCCCCTGGCTTTATGGAATTTTACATCTCCTTAATACCAGAGGCTCAAGCGGATATCATTACCTTGTAAATACTCTGTTTCCTTTGTCACTGAAGAGGTATATATCATTGCAATTGCAGGCCTTGTTAGTCGTGTCCTCATCACAGCTAGTGAAATGTTTAAATTGTGCCTAAACTTACAAGGATCTTCAGATTTTTATCTGATCCTCTTATTTTTCAGTAGTTTTACCTATCTTGATCTCTCAGTAGAATACAGTTCTTTAGTTGTAGAAATTGCTACCAATCTGTGTACAAATAGTTTCAAAAAGAAAAGCTTTTTATTCACCTTTATATTCACATAATTCCAAAGCTTCCAGGAAATTGGGATTTATTTTTTAACCCTTCAGTGAAATTTTACATGGTTAAATATATAAAAGGCTCTGACAGTGGCCTCAAAAATGTCGTGGTCAAAAAATGTCATTAGATTTTAATATTTTAAGAGTTCTATTCCAGTTTCCTTTCTTTGGTTTGATTTGTAGAATATATACCATAGATTACTTTACCTTGCTCTCATTAGGTTATATACTGTATTCGAGAACAGCAGTAAAGCATGTTCAGTCATTTTCTTTTGAATCCAAGAATGCGTTCTGACCAAATGGCAGCTAGCCCTAGCTTTTTCTTTAGCCAGAACTGCATCCCCATTTTCCATTACCTCATTTATATCCTTTTTTATCCTCATTCTTTTTTATATATTTAAAATTCCTTCAGCATTCCTTAATGGTATTTTTTTTCCCTAAAGTTTATTTTAGAGTGCTCAAAGGCTTGTTATATAAAAAGGCTAAGGATAGGGTTGCATTAATTTCTTTCCCATATTCATAGTTTTTCTTTAAAAACCTGTATCTTTAAAAAAAGAAAAAATTGTAGCTACACAGATCTGTATTATAATCATAAACAGAATCAGATTTCCAGCAGTTCCAACAGCTTTGCCAGTGGTGTTTCCAATTGTTGATATTTCAATAATTTGTTTTGCAATTTTTTGAACAAACCTTAAAGGATAATAATAATAAAAATCTTAATGACTAACATTTATTCAGCATTTAATCCTAAATGTACACCTTGTACTTTACATAAATTAGCTAATTCTTAACAGTTTTATAAGGTAAGTGGTATTATTTTTCATACTTTACAAATAAACTGAGACAAGGGAGGTTAAATTGACTTGCTATGAAGATAGGCATTATAACTTTATAGTTCAAAGAAAGCTTTATAAAATTATATTTTGGGAATCGATTAAAATTTTGAGTTCAATCTTGAATCTTTCCTTTAATTATCAATGGAATTAAAATGTAGTAACTTAGCCTCACTGATAAAAATAAAAACTAAACATATTTTTTAGGTAGCTTTTTAAGGGGAGGGAGGAAGGGTCTTGGCATTACAAGTGAAATCATTCTTAACTTGGTTGTATTTCACAGACACTAAAATAAAAGACAAAATTTGTTATGGTATAATAATCTTTAACTTACTGTTAAGCACATAAAAATCATACTAGTATAGGTTTACAAGTAATTTAAAACATTTTTATGATTGTAGAAGTTTTTATAGGCTTACTATAATCATTACTAGTAGGAGTCCTAAGAAATCTAATGCTAGAGAATTAGCACTGTCATATCATGACTCATAGAGTCTAGTGAACATTGAACACAAATTTGCTCTTTATGCTCTACCAGACTTGGAGCCTGAGGATAAGGTTATCTATAGATATCTACTAAATCTCAGGATGGTGTCTAATAGTGGCATTATCCACAGTCTCAAGTTACAAAAGTCTGCTTCAGTGATGCCAAGATTCCTAGGTGTTGATAGCTTCCCATTGAGTACAGAATAAAATCTAAATCATTTTGAGGATAAGCTTCATTTCATTTATTAAAAATAACTGAACATAAAAATCCTGTAAATAAGCTCCAAGTTGATAGCTCTATCTTACCAAAGGTAAAGCAGTCACATCCTTATTCCTAAGTTATCTGTGAAGTAGCTCCTTACCTACCACACAAGTGACCTATTTAATCTCTCACAAGAGCCTCATAAGGCTGAAGTTCCTACTGTGGCTATTCTTGCCTTAATCTTTCTTTTCTTAAGGCCCAGTCTCTTAACTACCTGCCATAACAGTTGACATAGGTTTGTTAGGTTTTCAGATGACGTTCATGGATCAATATAATGTTATGCTTGAACACTTATTGATTTGTTAGGTTCTCACATGAAGGTCATGGATCAATATAACTTTATGCCTGAACACTTATTGATCCCCTGCTCTATAAAAGGCACCTTAATAGGTGCTGCAGAGAGTACATAGATGAGTAGTAGTTTGATAGCTAAAGTCTGCTGAGCCCTCACTTGTATCAGGCATTATTCTAAATAATTTTTTTACCACGTGTATTACCTCATTTGATTTTCACAGTAATCACGGGTTTGTTATTCCCATGTTACAGATAAGAAAACCGAGGCAGGAGTATATAAACTGCCCACCGTAACACAGCTAGGAAAGTGGTAGAGTGGGCCGCAAACCCAAGCAGCTCTGACATTAGGACCTACACGCAACCATCATGTAATAGTGCTTCTCGTTCTGTGCTCTCAAGTAACTCACTTGCGTAAATTATTCTTAAGCTCTCCAGGAACTCCAGAACTGATCTGTATCGTCTCTATACATGAGAGCAGAGCAGGTCCAGCAGCCGAGACAGTGTAGCTTTCAGCCCAGTTTTCTAGTTTGTACGTTGACTTTCACATCATTCTACTTTTATACTCCTCTCTATCTTACTGATAGGCTTTTCGTTGTGTAAATGAAATGCTCTAGTTCTGTCAGTAAATTAAATGCCCTAGTAAAGTTTTATTCAGTTAAGATTTGATACAATAATTAGATGCATAATTCCTCCCAGAAATCTAATAACAGATTTTTTTGGTTATGGAAGTGGTTGTAAGGGATTCCAAAACCAATTTAACATGACCACAGGTAAACAAAGCTTAGTACCTCTGTAAGATTTTGCTTTTCTCATTTCTTTCACCAGAACTTTAATTTTGAGGTGTAACAGAGGACAACATTGGTCATTTTGGTGGATTTGACTTATTCAAATGATTAACTTCAGTTCTGATTGTGTTTTCTTTTTGCTTAAGCGAAAAGTGTCATGAGACTTCTCTAAAATTTAATTGACAAATGCTTAAAGGGAAGGTCGGCTGTAAGCAGTGAATATGTTTCTAGAAGGTAGTTATTCCAGAAGGTTGGTGATAAAATTGTTAGTTGCAAAATGAGTTAAAGACACACAGACTATAAAGTGGAATTAGCAGTTTGGACTAGCCAAAACCCCTGTGGATTCTGCTTTGGAGCTCTTGAATCTCAGTATTGGGAAAATAATCTAACAGTTCCTTGAAGTTAGTTTAGTCCGCCCCTAAGTATGCAGTAATGCTTATAAAGCTGTCCAAGCTTTCTCACTTGAAGAGCAGACAGGTTTTTTTCCACATAATAAGGATCAGTAAATTGGTGGAGAAGGGTAATTAATAAACTTAGAGTTTTAATTCAGATCTGTAAAACCATGACTTGACTAAATATTCTCCATTTTTGTAATATCAATATTTTTCTTATAAAATGTATTTCAGGAGATTTTGGTGTTAAGAAAACCATATGAAGATAATTTTGAAAAATTCATTTGTGTACTTTTTAATAAACTGATCATTTAAATAATGCATACATTTCTGTTTTATAAATATGTATTTTAATATTGTGGGTCACTTAATTCTTTGGGGAAATTAGCATAAATAAAATACATTAATTCAGATTTGATCACTTCATGTAAAAGGCACAAAGTCAATTTGAAATAACTTTTATTCAATGCAAAATGTATTTTCTATTGGCAAAACTAGAGTTTTCTCTAATTTCCTGTCTATAATTTTATAAATAAAATGTATTACTTGGCTGAAATCTTAAAATTATTTTTCCATTGGAAGTTAGAGCAATCTCATAAAGTTTTTAAATAAATTGCTAAGGATCTTGAACATGTGTTCAATTTTGAGTTAAAATAAACTAAGATTTGCTTTACATTGTGGCATATATTTACATTTTAGAAAACAAACTTCGCCTGTATTTAGTCAGTATAATTTTTAAAATAACTGGGATGATGGATACAAATAATCTTCATTATATTGAGGGAACATGAAGCTACATCAATGAATCCCCTTTTAATAGTTATAGTAAAATTCATTTAAAAAACTATATCTGTAGGAATGAATTGTGCAAAATAATACACATGTAACATTTACAGTTTTAGAAACTGAAAAATGCAGAGTTCTGTGTTATTTAAGTTAGAGGCTCTTCAGTCAATAGGCTTGATCATCATTTGAACTGCTCTCAAGGAGTATGACCCGCCTCGGTATTCGGCCCAAAAAATTCCATCTTGGTACTTGCTTCTGTAGTGGCCTCCTCTGTACCAGACTCCATTTAGGTTAGAATGTGCGCAGGCATTGTACCACCATCCTCCTTTATGAAAGTGGGCGCAGTTTCCTTTGAGGAAAAAATGTAGATATGACAGTAAAACTTCCTTCTAAGTGTGATACACTGCCCACCATCAGAAACTTATTTTAACCTTGGAACAATTTAATTTGTTTTTTTCTTAGTGATTTCAGTCACCTTTATCTTCATAGTTTTGTTTTTCCATTTATTGTTACTGTTGCTTAAGTATCAACTACTGGAAAGATCACTTGAATTGTCTTTTATCTTGGCCTTTGCTTGCTTAGTGCGTGTGTTTTTTATGTTGTTTTTTAAGTGATTTGATTTTCTAGGTAGTAGGGTAAGTAAAATGCAAAGAAGGAGTGTTTATATGTGAAAGAAAGAAGAGCTTGAAGACATTGGAAGGAAGGATACTGAGTCATTAAATAGAGTAAAGTTGGGGGGAAATTGATTCCTCAAAATAGCAAAAAATAACAAAATGAAATAGCAATCAGATGTGTTTCTGTAAGTATGGCATATTTTATGATTATATCTCTCTTCCTTTTTCTTTCTTCTTCCTGTGTAAAATAGGTTAAAATAGAGACCTCTGTGCTGCTTGCCAAGATACAGCTAAACAGAAAAATACATCAGTTTTTAGGGGATATCTCTTTATCAGGGCCAGAAACCTGGGTTAAAGAGGCAAAAGTATATGAAAATTAAACTAAAAATTATATTATGTGGGTGGCTTAATTGATTCTTTCTAAAGAGAGTATTAATTTCCCATCTGAACAAAGCTTTTCTGTTCTTCTTTATCCCAAATGTCACCGTTATCTTACTGTTCCCTGTTACTAAGAAATGCCTTTATGCTGATACTCAAATGAGTTGCTTTCCTCACTCCTTTCAGGTCTTCATTCCAATGTTACCTTCTCACAATAACCTTTCTGGGCCACCCCATATAAAATAGCACCTACCCCACCTCCTGCTGCCCATCACTTTCTGTTCCCTTACTTGGTTTACTTTCTTAGAGTACTTGGCACTACCTGATAAATCCTTTTGTCTCCTTCTGGAGAGTAAATTCTAAAGGGCAGGAACTTTGTTCACAGCTGCATCCTCAGACCCACAAGAGTGCCTGACACATGGTAGGTGTCCAGTTAGTACTTGTTATGATTTTGAGGCATTTAAGAGTTTTATTTCTGTTGTTATAATTTAGGGGTTTCCATCCCCAAACCCCCAAATTAGAACAACAGAACATTGTTCTTCAAAGAGTTCACACTTTGGGATTCCTTATAGAAGAGATTCTAAAAGATGTTCCTTTAGGAATGGTTCTCTTCTCTCTGTCTGAGTCCAAAATTACCTTTCTGCAAAGATTTTTAGTAGCATAATACTTCATTAAAAAAGGTTCTATTGAATGCATAGAAGGTGGTGATTCCATAAAGAATACACATCAGTTTTTTTTGTACTCACCTGCATACATATCTTTATCTCTGTCCAGTGTGGTGAACTGTTTACCATTATGCCACATCATAGAATCCCCTGCATTTCCCTGGTAAGTTCCCAGGCGCAGTCTGTAGAATTCACTTTCAGGTTCCAGGCGAAAGCTGCTATATTCTGCATAGACTTTTTTATCACTCCAATCTTCTAATTCAATCAACAACTTATAATTATCTTGATTGCTCAGCATATAGATATTTTCCAGCCCAAGCCAGTATTCTCCATCAATGTTTCCAAACCCTTTCTGTTAATAAACAGAGAGCATGAGTGTATAAATAAGTGTAGAGATAGTAAACTTTTTTATAGAAAAGTTTTAAGTTTGATAACACATATTGTCTGCTTTAGCAGTAATGTGAATTTCCATTTTCTTAAATCACCTGATCTTTATAAGCCCCACACAGTTTGTTTTGCTTTGCTTTCTCTTAATTCGTTAGTATTTATTTGCACAGCTAACTTCAAACCCTACAAATTAGACAAAGGCAAAAGACAGTGAAAATTGTTCATATCTACTAAAAACATTAACTAGTGAACTACCCAGATCCTTGAACAGGGTTCTTGAGCTCACCCATATTCACACAGAGAGCCAGTTTTTTTTCCTAAAAGTGTATAGATACTGTCCCCACCATAAACAAAAAGGATAATCTAACGTTATTTAATCATTCAATAAGTGATAGTAGTCTGTAAGTGATAGTATCAATAGTGATAGTTTTAGAACATATTGTCTTCTTTAGCTCTATTATAAATAAAGTTAGTAAATATAAGAAGATAAAATAGTAATCTTCAAAGTTCCATCTTTTTGAAAAATGGTAGATTAATGTTAAAAATAAGTAAATCGATTAGCTATCCTATTTCCCTAAGCAGTTGCCATTGCAAGTATGCAGCAGAATATAAGATTTGGTAAACCTGATCTTAACCCTAAGTTTTTCAACAAGGTTGTGTTATTTTTCCCAGTTACTTGTTTAGAAATGTACACAATTTCTGAATGGATATATTAATATCCCATTTTTAGCTGCCAGTAAAATGTCACCTAAGAGTGAGTAATCACATTGCTTCACAATTTTAAATGAAGAATTAACCTAGAAAATAAAATCTCTCCCATCTGCCATCCTTAAGCTGAAGGTACATATCACTCATTATTAGCTTGATGAACATCAAGAATATGAACATGATAATGCATGATTCTGGTATGATCTGACAGTCCAGGTGTATGTTACTTCCCAGTGGCACCCACCATGTCTGATGTCATCAACTTAAAACATGGTGGTATGGTTATCAGAAGTAATGAATCCTTGAAACAAGATCATTTTTGTGTGTGTGTAATTGCTGAAATACACGATGATGGGTACAAATGTGGTCATAAGCAAAACAGTTGTCTCCTTATAAAGTGGGATTGGAAATAGTCTTCACAAATAATTAAATATATGTATAAATCATCCAGACTGAAAGGGAGCATTTTAAAGTACATATTTGGTTTCCATTTTAATTTTGACTTTAAAACCAGAGATGAGGATATCTTTTTGACAATGCAACATAGATAATGAAAAACATATGAATAACTATTTTCTTAGTTCTGCATGCTCTTTATTGTGGCTACTATTGCAAGAGCTGCTTTGTTCCACATTTCCATGAGGTCTCACTCATTTACCTTATAATTTTCCCAATTTCTGAAGAAGTTGACAGAGCCATCTGTTCTTTTCTGAATAACAGTCCAACCCCCAGGATCCAGGCTGTTCTCACACCATAACTGTATCGGTCCATTGCTGTTTCCAGGTTTAATCATATAAATCCCACTGACTGAATGTCCAGCTTCTTTTGCATGCTGACAGTCTTTGAAAGGTCCTGTAATTAAGATATCATTGATTACCAGGAAACTTAACAGGAAAAGAATCATCATATTAAACTAGCTTTTAATCAAGAGTCTTACCTTTGTATCTTTCTTTACAGATACCACTGTTTAACCTATTGTATACACAATACTATAAAAGTTCAATTTCAGTATCTGGAACATTAACTTGATTCATTTTCCACTATTATTGCAAGTCTTTGTCCATATACATACTATTTTATTTATAATTCTAATGCACAAAGAAAATTGGATTTTGTCTTTTTAACAAAAAATCTTCATGAGACTATAATCTCCATTCTAGCACTTAAAGTAGCTGTAATACACAGTCTTTGATGTTGATATATCATTATTTATTCCTCTATCATTGAACATTGACATTTCATCTGATTTTCACTATTATAAATAACACTGCACAGTATGTCTTCTTTAGCTTCATTTTTTTCATATTTACTTATAAAAATGCTGCACAATTGATCTACTGGATCAAGAGCATATTAACAAACTTTTATAACTCTTCATTGTGCCCAGTTTACAGTTTCCAAGTTGATGAGATACATAGTGAAAATGGCATACCATGGGCAAAGAAGTTTTAGAACTGCTAAATGTTATATTACCCTTTGGAAACTAACAATGTACATTCATATATTAATGACTGATAAGCCCTGAAATAAACCAGGGTTTCCCAAACTTGCAGAATCTTTTAATTTCCACCTCCCACCCCCCATACAACAGTCCTTAAGAATACATTTCAGGAATGTTGGCTAAATGCTTTTTGAAAGGGTTGTATCAGTTTATATGACTGATAGTGATTTTCTTATGTAGTCTACACAAATGACTGTGATAGCTTACAGATGTTCTGTAGATGAAGCAGTTAACTAACTAGCCTAAGCTGCTGTATCTTAGAAGATAATAAACTCTAGACTTAAACCCATTTCTTTATAATGCCAAAGTCAGTACATGCTCTGAGCTGTTACGCTATATTTCCTCCCACGTTATTTCATAGTTTTGTGGATTCTCTCCCTATTTTTTAATCCACTAATAAGTTCTTCATGTCTTTTAAAATGACAAAATATTTTGTAAAATCATTTGTAGAGTATCTGACTCTTGAACTTGTGATTTCCACATTTTTGGATCTAAAGAAAGACAGCTTCTAGTTTTAGCTGTTCTCACACCATAACTGTATCGGTCCATTGCTGTTTCCAGGTTTAATCATATAAATCCCACTGACTGAATGTCCAGCTTCTTTTGCATGCTGACAGTCTTTGAAAGGTCCTGTAATTAAGATATCATTGATTACCAGGAAACTTAACAGGAAAAGAATCATCATATTAAACTAGCTTTTAATCAAGAGTCTTACCTTTGTATCTTTCTTTACAGATACCACTGTTTAACCTATTGTATACACAATACTATAAAAGTTCAATTTCAGTATCTGGAACATTAACTTGATTCATTTTCCACTATTATTGCAAGTCTTTGTCCATATACATACTATTTTATTTATAATTCTAATGCACAAAGAAAATTGGATTTTGTCTTTTTAACAAAAAATCTTCATGAGACTATAATCTCCATTCTAGCACTTAAAGTAGCTGTAATACACAGTCTTTGATGTTGATATATCATTATTTATTCCTCTATCATTGAACATTGACATTTCATCTGATTTTCACTATTATAAATAACACTGCACAGTATGTCTTCTTTAGCTTCATTTTTTTCATATTTACTTATAAAAATGCTGCACAATTGATCTACTGGATCAAGAGCATATTAACAAACTTTTATAACTCTTCATTGTGCCCAGTTTACAGTTTCCAAGTTGATGAGATACATAGTGAAAATGGCATACCATGGGCAAAGAAGTTTTAGAACTGCTAAATGTTATATTACCCTTTGGAAACTAACAATGTACATTCATATATTAATGACTGATAAGCCCTGAAATAAACCAGGGTTTCCCAAACTTGCAGAATCTTTTAATTTCCACCTCCCACCCCCCATACAACAGTCCTTAAGAATACATTTCAGGAATGTTGGCTAAATGCTTTTTGAAAGGGTTGTATCAGTTTATATGACTGATAGTGATTTTCTTATGTAGTCTACACAAATGACTGTGATAGCTTACAGATGTTCTGTAGATGAAGCAGTTAACTAACTAGCCTAAGCTGCTGTATCTTAGAAGATAATAAACTCTAGACTTAAACCCATTTCTTTATAATGCCAAAGTCAGTACATGCTCTGAGCTGTTACGCTATATTTCCTCCCACGTTATTTCATAGTTTTGTGGATTCTCTCCCTATTTTTTAATCCACTAATAAGTTCTTCATGTCTTTTAAAATGACAAAATATTTTGTAAAATCATTTGTAGAGTATCTGACTCTTGAACTTGTGATTTCCACATTTTTGGATCTAAAGAAAGACAGCTTCTAGTTTTACTGAACATTCTTTCACTCTTTCCCAGTGTTTTGATGTTATTTTTTATAAGCATATAAAAATATTAAGTGGCTTAAAATAATAGTTGCCATAAAGATCTATTAGAACAAAAAAAAAAGTGTAGAGGTTCCAGTTGTCAAGTTTTATGTTTAAAATTTTTTAAATTCTGACGTGTTATTTTTAGAAATTATGTGAAAATCATTTAGTCAAGTAAAGTTCGTACAAGAAGTACTGTAATGATAATAGGTTGTTGAAATTTTGAGTAATGTGTTATCTATACTGTGTCAAATATATATACAGGGTCCCGTTGGGGCCTTATTGGGGTAGAATTAACCTCATTGGATAAATAGTTATACAGTTACACCATTAGAAGGGGTTCTTGCAGACTGTGGACTCTTCCCTCTAGATTGCTCCTTGAATATGGAGACTGTTCTTATTTTGCTTCTGACTTAATGTCATGAGTGCTTTAACTATTAGTAGGCTGTCAGTTGTTTTTTGAGAAAAATGAATCATTAACTTGCCTCCACATTTTATAATACAAGGAAATTAAAAACCACCCACAAAAATCAAGAGAGAATTAATTTCTCTAGTCCAAGTTTATATTGTTTCATTGATATTTCTTTACATTCAAATTTTTTAAAATTGCAATACAGTGGCCATAAGCACTACAGTTTACTGGTAAAAAGAATTGAGAAACTATAAAGACTTAATGCTGTCTTGGGTTATATATTTTTTAGGTATTGAATTTTTTAGTTCTACAGTTTCAATTTGATTCTTTTTTAATATTTTTATTTCTCTTCTGAGATTTCCAGTTTTGCATTCATTATGAACATATTTTCCTTTAAGCTGTAATAACTACTTTAAAAATTCTTGTTCCTTCTACTCCTACTTTGCTGAGAGTTTCTAGTCATAAATGGATTTTGGATTTTGTCAAAGACTTACTTATCTACTGTGACAGATAATGGTTTTTCTTTTTTTCTTGTTTGTTAATATTGGTAAATTCTGTTGACTGTATTTTTAATGTTAAACCAACCTTATATTCCTGGGAAACCTCAACTTGGTCATGTTGTACTACCATTTTTATATATTGTGGAACTAGATAGGCTAAAATTTGATTAAATTTATGCTTTACTATTCATTAAGACATTGGTTAGCCTGTGAAAGTTCATAAGTAGGTTCTTAAGGTAGGAAATACTATGATAAAAGTTATGACCAGACTGGCTATAAATTAGATCACATTCTATTTAAATTCAGTGTGAATCATTTTTATGTTATCTACCTTCTCAGTTACTGAATTTAAATTACACATTATTCTAGCCTTTAACACTATACTTAACAAAGTTGTCATCAGTAACTGTTGCTTTTTTCTCTTGTTGCTAACAACACATAGTAGCTTTTTAATTTAATTTTTTAATTAAATTATTTAAATTTATTTAATAATTTAACTTATATGCTTATTTAATTAATAATTTTAATATGGCTAATCAAAGATGAATGCACAGTATATTTCTAGTGTAGAGAGATAACACATTCCTGGAAAACCTAATATGCTGCAGAAAAACTAAAAATATTTTACACTAAAAATAACAGCTGGTGTTAGCTGTTAGCATACTTGTATTCAATTGCAGCTACTTGTGGCACAAAATGTTAATATGCTTGGAAAAAATCCCATATAAAGCAATATGACCTCTGTGTTTTACTAATATTATTCTCCCTTTTTTACTGGTCACACATAAGCTACTTCATACTACAGAAACATGCACTGTAGTCATCAAGAGAAGGGCTGAGAAATTGTGTTTCATATGGAATGAAATTTGTAGAATTTTAATTTCATATGGCAATGAGATGGAAGGAAAGTGAAGGACTGTATCTTATAGTAGACACAGTTGTTTCCAGAATTTCCTTAGTTCTGCATTATTTTTTCCAGAAATGTTTTTTCTACATCTACTATAGCCTCTAAACTGTTACAGACTCAAGGGATAAAGAAACAGCTATAAAATCAAGTGGGAATTGTGGGAAGTGGCAAGTAAAAAGATAATTCCACTATAATATGACAAGTACTTTGATGGAGTTATGTGGGCACATGGGAACACTGGCTAAGAAATAGCTAACCGAGATCTGCAGAGATCAAAGTCTACCTTAACGAACTGAGTTTTTAAGATTGAGTAGGAGTCAGGTTAATAGGGGTAGGGCTTCTCTGACCCACACATGGGTAACATGTGCGAAGGCATGGAGACAGGAGAGAGCTTAATGTTACAGAGGGGTTACAACTTTAATGTATGAAATGTAAGTGGCTCAGAGTGGTACTTAGAGCCTCTCAGGTACGCTGTAGAGTCAAGCTGATTACTTTGATTCAAAGGTACAGTCATCATGGTTATTTCTAGTTAGCCAGGTTTTTTCAAAGGTGTCCCTTTCACAATAGTCAAGGATATCTAAGGAACATTGCTCTTACTTTTAAACCTGTTAGTATTGGCATTCATGCACACCTTAAGTGGTTTTGTTGGAATACACATAAATACTTCTCTCATTTCAGAAATTTGCTTATTCTGCACATGTCACATTTGTACTGCTTATTCTACACGCATCATGGTAAATGTTTGCTCTGCACTCATTTAAGTATATAGTTTTGATGGTTTACATTTTATACTTAAGTATATATTCACAAATTGAACTTTAAGTTTGAATTGCTGTAGAATATTTAGCAACATCATGATTTTGAGTGTTGATAGAATATATGTAATAAAAACAGAACCATTTGTTCCTTTCTGCCTTTTAATAAGCCCTCAGATGCTTAAGCAAATTGGAGGGTTCTGGACTTTGTAAATCCAAGTTCAGTTTGAGAAACTTCATTTTTTGCAAATTTAAAATTATCTTCAACTTTAATTTTCAGCCCACTTCTTTATAGCGGGCTTCGTGTTCACAGTTTGGATGCCTGTGTTAGACCTAGTTGATATAAAAGCTTCGGAAAATTTAGTTGGACTCCTTTTCTGGAACATGTGGATAAAATTAGCAGTGCTTATAAGTGTTCTTCTCCTCAGTAAAGATAGTGTATATCAGAATTTAATATTTGTTTATATTTTTATGAGTAAGCCAATAACTTTAGTCCAGTGTATACTGTTGATCTTGGCAGAAATATTTTCTCATTATTACTTGCATATCTTATTTACTTTCTACTAAAATTAGTATAAATCATTCTTATATATAAATGTTTTACTACTTTCTCTGTACCATAAAAAACATTACTTAATAGGAATTCCTAAATGAATAGTAGAAAAGTTCCAGCTTTATTTTTGAGAGGTCAAATTTAACTTGCCAGTTTACGTATTATCAGAAATAAATTAATTGGCATATGATTCAGGAATTTGTTTATAGTGGTTCAGTGGGTACAGACTGGAAATATCTTTCTTTAAAAAAGGAATTTTATTAACCTTTTTCTTGCATTGAATAATCTTGAACTGGTCTTCATCTTCCATGACACACAATTGGATTCTTCTCAAGGCAGGAAACTGGAATTCTGTACATTGAATTTGAAGGACCAGCCTCTCTCTTCCTCAGTTATTTGATGATTAAAGTTTGTATAGGGCTAACAAAATCTGATTCATAGAAAGAAAAATATTGACCAGTCATGCTACATTATTTCCCAACATGTATTTTTCATTAAGACCCATATTTTGAACAGAACAGTGGCTTAAAAAGAAAACAGTTTCACACTAGCATCTTCTATGGGAACCATCTTTAACATATCTACCCTTTTTCTATAAAGAAACTGTTTAGTTAAAATAAAAATCCTCCCCTTTTTGTTGAGTTTCTCCTTTATTTTCTTATTTTGTCCCAAT